TTTTCGGGTAATTTTGTATGTTCTTTTATCTCTGCCCATTTATTTTTTATACAGCTTATTGAGTAATCTATTGGTATATATATAGACAACAGTAGGATCGATTTAAATTTCCAGCTCCAATTGGACCAAAGCTGCAGAATGGACGACCAATAGCTAAGAGCGTTGACTAACTGATTGACGTTGCTGCAGAAATTTGTTGAAAATTTGTTTTATTTATTGCAGAGAAAATCGCCCAAATTCAGCTGCAACAACAACAGCAGCTACAGCAGCATAACCAGCCAGAGCCAAAGGCACAGCAACCCAAAGCTCCAACTCCTAACCAAATGGTTCCAATGCATCAATCTCCATTAGCGCCCCCATCTCACAACATAATGCGCCCACCTTCTACCGAGCGGATTCCTGAACGGGTGGACAGAATCAAGCAGGAGATAGAAGAACCTTCGCCACAATATGTGAGGGAACTCAGAGAGCCTCCACCGCCTCCACTACCCCAAGAAAATAAGGTCTGGGGCTACTCCGGCTTGGATTTGATTAATAGTGGCGCCACGTTCTGGCAGAATTACTCAGGTAAGCAAGTTGTTGATTTATATTGAAAAACTATCCTGAATACGGTACTGTTGGGAAAATACATGAGCTGTGTCCAATCAAATAAAGCACAGGGTGGCGTGCAGAAAAAATCCAGTACATAAGGCACATAATATGACTGTGTTTAGGGAAATGAAATGCGGCTCCGACGAATTCCGTTTCGAAAAGTCCCGACATAAACGTATTCAAATTACAAGCTGCATATAAATAATTTTGCCCGCACATGCAATTTTTCAGCCATAATGAAGCTCGGCTGGAAATACGGACTATCATCAAAATGGCGGCCTGAAATAATCGGGTGCTATATGACGGTTGATCAATTCGGGAAATCTGCAGGAAATACAACCAATTTTAACTTGGTTTTCAAAAATTTTAGAAGGAACTTTGCATTTTTTCAAAAAATATGTTTTTTTTACAAATTTCTTGTTGGGTATTTCGCCTCACGTCTTGAGGAAATTCTGTCTTTTTTAAAGACAAAAACTTTTGAGGCGAAATACCCAACAAGAAGTTTGTCAAAAAATGAATCCGCCTCAACAATATAGAACTTATCTACAAAATATGTTTTTGTTGAACACACAACCAGTCCTGGGAGCTTCAAATGAAAGAGAAAAACCTTAAAGTTGAAATAGCATTTGAACTAAAAATTGTACATGACTTAATGAAGATCCACAAGCGTGTGTCTCATTAATCGAAAAAACCCGCATGCTATTTTAAAGTCAATGTTTGATGTTAAATACCAACTAGTCATTAGACCGACCAAACTAGTCATTTTGAACAAATAGTGTTCATGGTTTTTTTTATAATATTAAATAAAGCAAGTAGGAGTAAAAAATCATAAATAACTTAGTTTCGTTTATAGACTACAACTATCGCTTATCACAGAAACTACGTATTAACTTAATGCGTTTTTAAACAATGTATTTCTTAAAAGATGTGGAAATAAATCTATATATCTTCCATTACCGATGATGAAGCTTGTGCTTTCGGTTATTTTTCCAGCTGTTTATCTTGGTAAATCTAGATATATTTTGAATAATCCTCAGATATTCGGTCATCCCCCTGCAAGGTTCTTAGGGAGTTTTTTCGCGAGAAGTAAATTTTTTAAATGAAAACCCAGATACCTGCGAAAAAACTGAATCATAAGCTATGCTTTGGACTCATTTTGAAAGCTAATTTAGCCGATTATCTCGCATTCGGATCTCTATGGCTATAACATGTAAAATTGTACAAATATTTGCAAGAATGAATCCGTTATGAACAATTTCTTTCCATGGACTTCCATAGTTTATTTTCCGTTGGAGAAGCAAATTTCTAAGCTAAACTGAAAAATCTACATTTCTGCAGTAGGCATCTCAAACAACTTAAATTGTCTGCTTATTCGGGTTTCTAGTTAATAATAAAAAGCAGCAAAAAAACTAACAAATCTGTATGTTGTTTGTGGCAAAAGAGTTAACTGAATGCATCTTTGCCGCTTCTATTTATGCTAAAAGAATGTTTAAATTGCATTTTGCGTGTTGTTTCCATGGATCAACAATCTGTTAATAGCTTCTAACTATAACCTCACGTCTTGAGGAAATTCTGTCTTTTTTGAAGACAAAAATTTTTGAGGCGAAATACCCAACAAGAAGTTTGTAAAAAAATGAATCCGCCTCAACAATATAGAACTTATCTACAAAATATGTTTTTGTTGAACACACAACCAGTCCTGGGAGCTACAAATGAAAGAGAAAAACCTTAAAGTTGAAATAGCATTTGAACGAAAAATTGTACATGACTTAATGAAGATCCACAAGCAAGTGTTTCTCATTAATCGAAAGCACCCGCATGCTAGTTTAAAGTCAATGTTTGATGTTAAAAACCGGTATTTTTGTCAAATGCTTTGACTTTAAAGTATTTGTAAATTCATGAAGATTTCACAGTTGTGAAAGTAGAAAAAACTGGACGTAAATAGTTAGTTGGTCTGATTGCAATGGTTTCATTTCTCGAATTATTTGACGAGTAAACTGTATAAAAGACGGTTTGCTGATTTATAGGAATTAAAAAGAGTATTAAATGCGGAATGCAAGAAATGGCACCAATGTAATAAACGCCTTAAATGCAACAGAAAACTTGTTGAGTCAAATGGTGATACATTTGAACATTTACTTTGAACTTTGAATATTGAAAATTGCTATTTTTGTCTCCATGATTTAGGAACTTTAATAATATCAGTTTCCAGTTATTAGTTGATTTAAGCTTCTTTTCCCAAACTTTATCAAAATAGTTCACTTTCTTAGTTTTTGCACCAGGAATTTTTTAAGCACGAAAATACTTCCATGGTAAACGTTCCGATATATTTTTAATTTTAACTCAGTATTGAATACGATCGAAATGCAAATTATTATGCACCGTTTCGTCGAATTTTTTTTTTTAAATACATTGTTTTGGTGACTTAATGGGAAAACTACAGCGCTACTACCTTAAGGGTAACAAGAGAGATTTTGCCTATAAAAACTTTGGTACCAGTTTTTGCTCCTGATATTCTCACCTATCAATCACTAAGAAGTTTCTTTCCCATTTCAGATGGTTTCTTTTTCTTGTAATAAACTAAGAGTGTTTAAGAAATTTGCGTGCTTGTGTCTTATGGCGTTCCTCAATCGTGATCTTAATCTGTTCCATATGTTTATTACAAATTTATTCTGTTCATTCACGCTATTGACAACTTTTTTTGTCAGTTTTTTCTCCTTTTTATTGCAGACTTTTTTGTTGACGACCTTTGTTTTATGCGTATTGCTTGCACATGGTGAATGAAGCACTTTAAAATTCAGCGGTTTTGGCGAGCCAAAAATAATATTCTTTCTTAACTCCATAAGAATGAAATTAACTAACTACTTATTTCAAATTCATAATGCAATTGAATTATATTTTGCACCTGAAGACAAGTTTTCATAATTTCTGTTTACTGCCAGTCAGCTATAGAATATTTATTAGACCGACCAAACTAGTCATTTTGAACAAATAGTTTTCATGATTTTTTTTATAATATTAAATAAAGCAAGTAGGCGTAAAAAATCATAAATAACTTCGTTTTGTTTATCGACTATAACTGTCGCTTATCACAGAAACTACGTATTAACTTAATGCGTTTTTAAACAATATATTTCCATTTATGTTATAAGAATGTTTAAATTGCATTTTTCGTGTTGTTTCCGTGGATCATCAATCTGTTAATAGCTTCTAACTATAAAAATACCTTTTTCATCCTCCTCTAGTAAACCCCAGTTGGAACCCTCAGAAGCGACAATTTCGAAATTGTTTTATAATTTTAAATTTCTGAAAGAATTATTTTTATTTGCTTCTGTTTCATTGGAAAACACTTTCTAGATGCAAAGCGACAGGAAGGAAACCGTTTGTTTTTCTTCCAGAATTGATTTCCAGGATTTTCTGAGCCTGGCTTTTAGTTAATAAACTTCTCGAATTCATACTTTTCCATCCAGAACCGTTTTCTGGCTTTTTGATGATAGTTCGGGTTTTTTCAGAATCGTCCAGTACTTTGTTGTCTTTATTCTGGGAGGAAGTTCTACTTGATCTTCTGATTCGATTGAATCAATCATTCGATATTTGCAATTAAACGACGAAATGGAAGTCAAACTATCATTTCAGATGTGTTTTTCGCTCACAGTGAGATTGGCTAGATACCTATACGATTCGAATTCACCGTCGATAAAACGGACCGTAATTGGAGCATAATGGGTCGGGTATGACAAGGCGATATCGGATCCAATGTTTATAATAAGTTATTTTTCATCGACGAATCACGTAGGTAATTAAGGCCTTCCGACTCACCAGATTTATGCCGACTTTAATGAAGTAATTAGACACGCGCGCACTCGACCGCCATGTTGAATTTTTCGAATTATTTCTCGCTTTTTCTTATTCGAGAATCTTTGTTCAAACGTATTGTATTGAAATTTGTCATATTAAGATACCCTGAGGCAATGGCTTTAGTCTAAGTCTATCTTGGAGTATAAGAACTAAAATGTATGATTTTGTGAAGATTGGCATGAATATTATCTCGATTTTTTTGGAAATTTTGCTATGAAACACTTAAGGGAGACAAATGAATGGAAAATTAGTAACTAGCTAGTATCAATCCGAGGAAAGTAACGAAAAATTCGAAATAGAAAAAGTACGGGAAATAAATTGTTGCAACGCAACTCGCAACTACTCGCAAAAAGGACAAATCTAACAGAATCTCTGGAATTGTCGAGTTTTATTGCCGCTCTATTGTCTTATGTTGGACAAACATTCCATAAACGACTTTGAATTTTTTGAAACAGGGTTAATTTGTTTTCGTTACTTTGATTAAAACTCACTTACAAATTCCAATCCCAAGCCTATGGAAATGACTGAATTCAACTCGAATCCGTTAATATTCACACCTCCAAACGTCCCAAGCGAAATGCATCAGTTTGTTAGAGCAAAACGAGGAATATAGGGGTGGAAAAGCTACTCGAAACAAATTTTCCGTTTATTTGGTTTCACAAAGTGTCTATCTGCTTTGTAGCGGGAAAACGATGAATACTGATTTCGTTTGGTGCGCGATGACAAAACGTTGAGATTCAGATTTTAGGTGGCAGTTTGCTGGGGGGCGATTCGGATTTAAAATCCTCGTTATCTAACGATGGGAACGATGAAATTCTTGGCATTTATTGTGCATAATTTTAGACTCAAAATCAAATAAAACTCATAAAGATAAATCACATTTGATTGTCTGTTGAGATACAGGAAAAGTATATATTTAAGTTATGATATACTTATTTTTCCTGGGTCTCAGTCAAAGTGTGAAGTAAAAATGTTGAACATGGTTTATTTCATTACGTTTCGGCGAGACAACAGCGCCATCATCAGATTTTTCAGACTAATTTGCCTCATCCGAAAGGTAATGGATTCCGAGGTGCAGGGTGTTAAAGAGTAAATAAGTTTTTCGTTTATTTGTAGTA